AAATTGTTCTTCCTCTGGTGAGCACCGGTGGCCCACTAAATCCGGTTTTGATTTGAGGGGGATCGTGTGACGCCTAAATGGCCAGGAGTTATCTGTCACACAGGGAGGAATTCACATGCTTGGAGAGGTGGGCACCACGTCGGCTGTGGGGCATCAGGGAGTCAGAGAGCCGACGCCTCCCAGCTCAGCCCCCTCCAATCCCAGCCCTGTGCGCAGCTCTGCTGCGGGGCCCGGCCTTACCCCACGGGGCCATGTGGGGCAGCCCAGGCTGGCATGCGCTCAACCCCAGAACGGGGGGCACTGCCGTGGAGGAGGGGAAGTGTGCATGCCGACATCCAGGGACAGGGAGCCTGGTGGCACAGCAACCGGGCCCTTGTCTGGAGTGGGGAGGGGGTGGTGGCAAGTGGCCAGCCTTGGGGACTGGGTTGAGGAGTTTGCAGGGACATCCTGTACCCTTCTTGGTCTCTGTGCCCTGGGCCTGGGTCCCTCCTCCACTCCTCTGGGAGGGGGTGGCTATGCCTTCTGGGAAGGCCGGGTCTGCACTAGTGCCAAATCCCCGCCTTGACCTGTGCCTCCTGTAGCGCCGGGGAGGGAGACCAGTCCCATCTGAGCAGCCAAGAGCCAGGCCCGCGGTCCTAGGTCACAGGGAAGGAAGGTAGTGGGTGCCCCGCCCAGGGGCAGGGCTGGGGGCAGCAGAGGGCTCCCCTGGGAGGGGGCTCTCTGACCCTTGCAGCCCTCTCCGGATGCCTCCAACACTTGGTCCCGCCTGCCAGCCTCCATCAGGGCTCCCTGCCTCCATTCGGGGAAGCCCGAGTGACTCTGGAATAGTCATCCGAGCTGCCGGAGAGCTGACGGTGCCCGGATAGGCATGGCCAGCGGGCTGTCTGAGTCCCCAGTCTTCCCGCCGCCCCCGGACTCCATCTTCCCGGTGGGCCTCCTGGAGGCAGTGAGGTCACCGTTTCCCACAGCCCAGCCTGCGGGTGGGAAGCCCTTGCATGGCTCTGAAGGGGGGGTCCACTCCTACTGCCCTGCGAGCCACAGGAGCTCCTGGCTAAGAGAGCAGCAAACCATGGCCACGCCTGTGGGGGCCTTCTCCTCACACAGCCCGAGGCCTGTCCTCAGCCAGCATCCGGGGCTCTGTGCAGCCACCTCTGGACAAAGCCTGAGGCCCTCCCCCTGGGTTCTGGTGGAGACAGAGCCCAGATTGTCCTGGGAACAGCTCTGACCAGAATTCAGGGCTTGCCAGGAATAAGGCACATCTGGAAAAGTGTTTGTCGAGAACGTTGCTCTAGCAGAGCCAGCCGGTGCCCTCAGCCCGAGTGGCCTCAAGCCCTGCCCAGGGCTCAGGAGCTGGGGTGAGGGGCAGCCCCCACTTACTTAGCCTGGCTCAGGCCCATGGGCTCTGGAGGCCAGGCCTGTGCACTGTGCCTGGGAGGGACAAGGAGCCTGCTGACTCTGGCCTTGCTGGGGGAGGGGCGGGGGTGGAGGCCGGCCCTGCCCGGAGCCGGAGCTCCAGGCCCGCAGAGCGGGCCCGCAGGGGCGGCCCTGGCCTCTCTCGGCTTCTCTGCGTGCCCACTCTGAGCCCCAGGCTTCCTCCCCGGCCAGCCCCTGCTATACGCTGGTTACTCAGGAAAGTTGGGGAGGCCCCTCACTTTCACCCTCTCACTCATCCTGGCGCCTCTGGGGCCTGGGTCTCCCAGCCCGTGTACTTGTTCCTGGGCATTCCATCCGGTAACCAGGTCCTTCCTGACAGACAAGCAGGGCTCTGGGAATTAGAGGGCCCTGAGTTCTAATTCCTGCTCCGCCATTCCTTGTCAAATCCCTTAGCATCTGGGCCTCCCAGGACTGTGGTGAAGACAGGCCATGAGCGAGATGCTGTCTCCTTCCTTCCTTCCCTGGTTGGCTCAGATTTGCAGCAGACCAGTGGGAAGGAGATTGAGGGGTTTGGTGCCTTCCTGGGTCTGGGGCTCCCACAGGGGATCATCTTCTTTTCCCATTGAAAAAGTCAGGTCACGGCCACAGAGGCCCCTTTGCATTATGGGAGAGGGCGGGTGAATACGGCGGGCTGGTCATGCCAATGCCCTCATCCAAAGGAATGGAGTGTAATGGTGCACTTAAGGCAGAAACCATGCTGGTGTGGGGAAGAGGGCGGGAGACACAGGGGGTGGCCGGGGTGCTGTCTGATGACCCTCATATATCGTCTGGACATTGGCAGGTGCCTAATTTGCCTGGCCAAAAGTGCTTTGCCCACCCTGGGACCCCAGGGTCCCCTATCTCTCACTCTGCTCCAGAATTACATGGGCCTCTGCCGAGTACACACTGGCAGGTGTGCCCTCCGTAGTCACGCACTCTGCCATCCAGGGTGCCCGCAGAGAGCCTGCAGGCTCACGCACTGCCACGCAGGTGTCAGGAGGACAGGAGCCGGCGGTCTGGTCCGTGCCTGTCTCCCAGTGCCCTGGACGGGGTAGGGCACGTGACATGCGCCCAGTAAGTGTGTGTTGGATAAATTAGTAGGCCCCAGGTGACTCTCACCTTGTGTGTGGTGCCACATCATGAGTCTTCGGCTGCACGGATTCTGACCTGGTCCGTGGACACTGTCGCAGGACCCGGGACACGCACAGGCCCCCAAGGCTCCTACTTATAGCTCTGTTCTGCTGCACCCGCCTTCCAGCCTGAGCCCAGTGGCTGCTGCGGGCCTGGTGCCAGCTTTTCCCTGCCACCTTCCAGACCCACCCTGGCTGGGACCCAGCACCTGCCAGTGTCAGAGCTCCTCCCTGCACCAACCAGAGGGCAGGGACAGGTGTGGCCCTGTCGGGGCCTGGAAGCCCAGGGGGAAGGAGGAGGGCAGAGTGTGTGTCCCATAGAGGACACTGAAGGGGGACGGTCCTGCTCTAGAACATCCAGGCCGAGGGGCCCCTCAGCCCTGCCCTCGGACCTGGTCTGAGGGGAAACAGGGCCACCCTCTGAAGCCTGAGTGCGGGGGGATCTCAGGCCTGTGGGGGGAACCCAGGGATCAGGGGCCAGGGCAAGAGGGAGCCTCCCAGGCTGCGGAGAGCTGAGCCAGCGCCAGGAGTGATGGATGTGGAGGAGGTTCTGGACGTGGCCCCAGCACTCGCTCTCTCTCTCTCCCTCTCTCTCTCTCTCTCTCTCTCTCTGTTAATAAAGCACCGATTACCTCTGGCCTTGGCTGCCAGGTCTCCCTGAGCAGGCAGGCCTGCTGGCCACCATGCTGACTCCTGCCTCACGTCCACTCCATCCTGTACTTACAGGCACTTAAGTGTATTTGGATGGACCAAGCTTCCCCGACCTCACCCAGCAGGCCTCCTCCCTGGTGACCCCTGGTGGCTTGTTGCTCGGGCCAGGGTGGCCCTGGTGTGTGCCATGCCTGAGCAGAAGGGTGGCCAGGGGCCAGGGCCGGGGCTGGAGGTGCAAGACCCATATGCTCTTCTTTGCCCTGCCCTCGGTACATGCACAACCCAGAGAAGCCCGGCCCCTCCCTGGGCCTCAGTTTCCCATGTGTGAAACAGGGAGAAGCCAACACTCACGTGTGGGGTTGTGGTGGGGCAGGCAGGGGCGGGAGGAGAGGCCCAGGGAGGGCCCCGCTCTCCAGGGCCTGGCCTCCCTGCTCGGGCTCCGCCTGGCTCCTCCTTCCACACACTAACATGCAGCAGGCGGGCTGGTTCCCCACCAGCCTCGGGGCCCGGGAGTCCAGTTTCTTGCTCAGTTCACTGGCTGCCCCTGGGCCTCTGCTTGGGGACGCCCAGGACACGGGCTGGACTGCAAGGTCTGTGTCTCCTCTTCCCCTCCCTTGCTGCAGGCGGGGTGGGTGGGAGCTGGTCTGGTTCCTCCCCCAACCTCCCCACGTCTCGCCCATCCTCCCCTGTTCGCTTCTGGCTCTGCGTCCCGTAGGGTCTCCCTCCTTCAGCTGGTCTCACCCTCTTTGCGTGCTCTACGCCCTTCTCTTTCTCAGTGCTGACCTGTGTCACTGCCTCTGCCTGGGGACCTGTCTCTTCCAAGTCCATTCCTGTCTTGACTCTACTTCCCTGCACTCAGTCTGGCCTCCTCTCTCTGTTGGTCTGTGTCCCCTCCCCTTCCCTTCCCCATCTGGGTCTGTCCTCCCTTCCTCCTTCTCCCCTTCCCCTCCCGGCCATCCAGTCTCCAGACATCCAGGTCCGGCTGTCATGCCTTCTGTCCCTGCAGCAGCTCTGCCAGCTTGACAGCCTTTGAGAAGAAAGACCACACTGCCCTGCCTTCCCCCACCAGCCCCTGAACCGTTGATTTGAACTGCTCCAGAAGCTGGAAGCCACTGCGAGGAGACCTCCCAGAACCGCACCTCACTCAGACCTTCCCTTGGCCAGAGTGGAGGGTGGTCCCCACGCAAGCTCTCTGAGATCTGATGCCTCCGTGCCCCCATCAGCTGAGACCTGGCCAGTGTGCGTGGGGCTCTGGGACATCCCTGAAGTGACATCCAGTGGCCAGGCTTGGACGGGGGTGCAGGAGGCTCCTCTGGATCCCTGGACCCAAGGACTCCAGATTAACCAGTCCGGGGTGGGATGGGGATGCCAGACCAGCAGAGCCTTGGTGCCCGCCTCCGGGGAGGGCGACGTCCCCCCACCAAGCCCGGCCTGCCCAACCCGCCCCATCTGGAGCGCCTGGCTCTGCCCTCGGGCAGCCCCTCAGTGCAGCACACAGGGCGGGGACACCTGGATTTCTCTGGCCCCCTGAGTGGGGCCAACTTAGAGGAATTTCCCAAAGCCTATTAGAGCAGTGGCGGCCTTCTGCCTGCCTTCTCGGGCTGGGCAGGGCTGTGGGTGGAGGGAGAGAGGGAGGGAGGGGGCAGAGGAGGAAGGGAAAAAAGTTGGCAGGCCAACAGCAGAGCTGTGTCTGCATCCATCGCTGAGAGGAGGCCCGTGCGGTGTGGGGCGGGCCAGGAGCAAGGAGAGGCCTTCCTCCCTTTGTGCTCCCCCTCCCCTCCTCCCCCCAGGGGCCCTATAAATAGGCCCGGCCCGGGCTGCGGCTCAGCTCTCAGAGGGAGTCGAGCGCCAGGCAGCGGTCACAAGCCAAGCCCCCCGCCAGCATGGCCAGCGAATTCAAGAAGAAGCTCTTCTGGAGGGCAGTGGTGGCTGAGTTCCTGGCCATGACCCTCTTCATCTTCATCAGCATCGGTTCTGCCCTGGGCTTCAATTACCCGGTGAAGACCAACCATACAAACGCGATCCAGGACAATGTGAAGGTGTCCCTGGCCTTCGGGCTGAGCATCGCCACGCTGGCCCAGAGCGTGGGCCACATCAGCGGCGCCCACCTCAACCCGGCCGTCACCCTGGGGCTGCTGCTCAGCTGCCAGATCAGCGTCTTCCGGGCCATCATGTACATCATCGCCCAGTGCGTGGGGGCCATCGTCGCCACCGCCATCCTCTTGGGCACCACCTCTTCCCTCCCCAACAACTCGCTGGGCCTCAATGCGGTGAGTGCGGTGGGCTCTAAAGGGGCGCTGAGACGGCGCCCGCACCCATGGTGTAGATGGGGACACTGAGGAAGAGGGAGGACAAGAGGTTGCTGGAGGCCTTGCTGAAGGGGGCTGGACTCAGCTCTGCACGCTGCCCAGAGCTGTGTTCTGCCCCTAGAGTCTGCCTGGCACTGTGGGAAGCCGAGACCCAGAGAAAAACCGTCTTGCCAGTGTCCCCTGGGGTTCGGTATATGGGGGTTAAAGCCCCGAGGCAGCTGACGTGAGGGCTGGCAGTTCCTCACTGCTCACCTGGAGTGTCTGCCACCCTCAGCCCTGCCTGTGTGGCCAGCTCCCTCCCCTGGTGGCAGCCCAGACCCTGGGGAAGCTCTGCGCCTATCCCCAGCCCCCCGCACGTCTGCAAGTGTGTGAGCAGGACTGCTGTGGGGAGCCCCCTGACCTCCAGAGAGCTCCTGCGTTCACACAGGTCCCCAAACACACAGTCTTCAAGGAAAAAAAAAATCCCCTCCCGCTCCTCGGGTCCCAGGAATCTGACGCGTTCTGGGAGGTTTGCAGGTGGTTTTCCTGGATTACAGTGTGGGCCAGGGCGGGACATCTTGCCTCCTGCCTGGACTCCACTCCCTGCCGCTGGGCACTGAGAGGTGGGACACGTGTGTTTGTGTGTGTGAATGGGCGATACACGTGGGTGCCGGCGTGGGTCTCGAGCGTGCGCATCCTCTGCGCTCCGGTGGAGGGGGGATCCCTTTCCGTAAGCGTGCCTGAAAGCATGTTCGTGCTGCAGCGTGAGCCTGTGTGGGCTGCGCGGGTCCCCGCCTGTGCCCACTCTCTTGGCTTGAATGGGGCCTGGGCTGGGGGCACTAACGATAAGCAGATGTTGGCAGCTGGGTGGCAGCCGCTGAAAAGAATTCCTCGTGGGCCGCTTAGCACAGCTAATTGGCTGCTGGCTGCCGTTGCCTGCCGTCGCAGACCCGGGCTTTTCCAGACCTCGAGCCAAGTGCACACTCAGACCTGGTTTGGGCCACTGCAGGGGGAAATTTGGCCTGAGAGGCTGGAGAAGGCTTGAAGGATGCCGTGGAGCACCTGAGGGGGAGCTGCCTCCCAGGGAGGGCCAGGGGCCACGGAGCAGAGGGCAGGACTCCGATCCGGAGCCGGGAGGCTGGCGGCCGGGCAGGGCAGGCAGGTGTGGGGACAGTCAGGGAGCTTCCCAGACAAAGTTCAGGTGCCGGCTCGGCTCGGTAAGGTCTGCGCCGCGGGCAGCTAGCGCGCCCCTGGCACCGGGGCATTAGCACTTCTTGTGTCTCAGTGACACCTCACCCAGCCCTCTGCGGAGTCAACCGCTGCTGAGCCCAAGATTAAAGATTAGCCCTGCGGGCTGGAGTTTAGACTTTAGTCAGGGAAGACTCGGAGGAGGCGGGTGTCAGGGCCATCCCTCGCCAGGCCTCAGTCTCCCCAGTGGGGGCAGGGCCAGATGCCCTCAGGGAGTGCTCTTCTGGGTAAGGTCAGGCTCACCTCAGAGCTCAGCTGGGATGATGGGCTCGGGAAAGAGCCCCCAGAGAGGAGGAGCTATGTTTGCCCAGGCTTCCCAGGCCCCTCTTGACCCTCCCTCTCCAGGGACAGGTCTCCGACACGGGCACCCCAGCCCAGGCAGAGGCCGGGAGGCCAGTGCTGTCTGTGCCATCCTGACCTGGCCCTGTCTGGTCTCTCCCCCCTCTGGCCTCCATTTTCTAGAGTGACCCCAATACCAAGGCTAGGCCAGTTGCAGACAGGGAGGAGAAAGGAGAAGACTAGTTCGGGGGCTGGCCCTGCTCTGGGGGGCAGGTCCTGGTTTCCTTGGAGCTGAGGCCCCACAAGGGATGCTAGGTGTCTTGGTAGCCCCTGGCCACGCCCATACTTGCAGAGAGCTCACTTTGTGGGCCTGAGTTTATCACCCTCCCCGGGGGCTTGGCGGGGAGGCCCCAGGGGGGCCATGCTGAGCACAGGGGCAATGAGCCTTGTGGTGGGGACACTGCCTCATTCATGTGATGGAAGTTTGGGGACCGGAGCACGAGCCCTGGGTCCAGAAACAGAGAGTGTCCCCTACCTGCCAAGGGCTCCTGTCAGACATGGGACCCTCAGTACCTCAAAAGGGACAGAGACTGGGTGACCCAGCAGGTGCCTTACTCTTTCCTCCAGGCCCCGGGGGCGGCTCCCCTTGAGCTCCGGGCCCCACCCTGAACCGAGCCTGTGTGGAGCCCGTCGTTGGCATGGAGATTTCCGAGGAAAATAGGGAAAGAAGCGTCAGGAAGTGGTTGGGGTGAGTCAAGGGGTGTCCCCCGGGGCCATGGCAAGGAGAACTTTCTCCTCACTGAGTCAGGGCTCAGGGCACGCCCTGGGGAGGTCGTGGGGCTCTGACCAGCTGCAGGATTCCTGGCTGGTTGTAACATCCAAACCCCCGTCTCAGCTAGGACGAGAGGCTCAGGGGTGGGGTGGGTGGCCCAGCTGGCTCCAGCCAGAGGTCAGCCCCCGACACCCTGTGAGGCTTCATGCGAGTGCCCTTGCCTGCATGGCCCCAGTTCCCATCTGTGAAATGGGTACCCAGCAGGGCGTGGCTGGCCTCTGCAGTGTGGAAGAGGCTCGGCTGAGAACCCAGAAGCCCTGGCTTGTCCTGGCTCTTATGATTCTCCCCATCTTCAGCCCCTTCCCCCAGATGCCCGCACACAGGGCCAGGGCTGCCGCAGGCTCAGGGCAGGCGGCGCGGGCCGCTTCCCGGCCCTGGGCAAGCCCGCGGTCTGGGCGAGATAAGGCCCATGCACAGCTGCCCATGATAACAGGCAGGAGGCAGATGTGATATGAGGCGTCGGGGTGGCCAGGGAACTTCTGGCCTTAAGGGGAGAGGAGGGCCAGGAAGGCATCAGGGAGGAGGTGCCACACAAGCCTGAATGTGGAGACCCCGCTAGGGAAGGGCTTTCAGGCACAGGCTAGGGATCGATGGGCAGTCACGGCCTGGTGCTGGTGGGTTGTGGCCAAATTGGGGTCACGGTGGGAGGTCGGGGTCCTGGAAGAGGGTGAGGGCTCGGGATGCAGGCCAATGTCTGGCTGCTTCCTAGAGGGGACTGGATCCCTGGCCTTCCCAGAGCCTGTGAATTCAGTCCCTTAGGGAGCTCAGGCAGAGAAAAAACCTCCCCTCTTTGGGGGTCTTTTCTCAGCCCTGCTGATTCTGGGCCTGGTCGCCTGTACCTGCTGCATCAGAGGCCTGGCCTCAGTCCTAAACTTGCCCCTTCCTCAAGCCTCAGTGTCCCCCGCCACAGAGTGAGAGGCCCCCGTGCCAGCACCTCTTCCAGGGCCAGGGCCCACTCCTGCCCCCTCCAGAGTGAGGGTAGGCTGGAGAAGGGGAAGCCAGAATTTTCCAAGGACCCTGTCCAGCTGGGCCTGCCCAGGGAGGGGGCTGGGGCTGGGTGGCAGTGCCGTCACTGGGACATATAATTACAGGTTCCGGCCAGAACCAGATGAGGGGGAGGGCCCTCGGAGCGGCAGGACCTTTGCGGTGGAGACTCCCTCACCGCGGAAACTTTGCAGGCTGTTTACCCCACGCAGAGCAGCCCCCTGGCCCCTCGTTGCCCACTTCCACATCGGGTCCTCCCCCGAGCGCACCTTGGGAAAGCCCCATGTGAAGGGGTGCCACTCCGAGAGGGGCACTTGGTCTGAGGAGGCTCACTGAGGCCACAGCCCCCTCTCCCACCCGGAGCCAATAGGTCCTGCAGGCCTCCCTGACCTGAGCCGCCCGCTTTCTCCAGGGCCCCACCCAGCGGGCGTTCCTTCAGTGCCTGCCCAGCGGAGCTCTCCCCAGGCCGCTCAGAGTGCCCCCGCCCGCCCGCCTCCTAGGGACTGGCTTAGGAACCCTCTCCTGCAGGTACAGGAAGCCCCCCTTCTTACAGGCAGAGCCCCGCTGGGGGGGGCGGGTCTTGGTGCCTCTCCCCTCCCCCCAGAAGAGCCCAAGGCTGGGGCCGAGCCCACACACCTGCAGCTGTGGTCAGGACAACGCTGTCCTGGCCAGGGTCCCCTCAGCCCGGGCCTGTGCCCAGGAGCCAGAGGAACTCCTCGCCCACAGTGCTGCCCAGTGGGGTGAGCACACCCCGAGGCTGAAAACCCCAACTCAAAAGATGGGAGGAGAGGCTGAAAAATGAGCAGTTGCCTTGAGTGCCTGAAATCTACTGACAAGACAACTGTCCACTCAGTAAGGAAGGATTTTTGTTTTTAATTGGGGAGAGGTTGCCTCTGAGCCAGTGAGCTCCCCAGCATGAGGGGTGTGCAAGGAGACTCTGCGTGGCAGCGGCTGCTCTGGGGCACGTGGCCATGGGCACTGCGGCGGGGCTGTGGGTGCGAGGCCCTGTGACAGGCTGGGGCCGGGGGAGGGAAACCTGTGCTCGGGCTTCTGGATGCTGGCGGGGAGGCTGGCCGTGGTCTGGGAGGCCGGGGTCTGCCTCTGGGAGGGAGGAATCCTGGAGACTCTCTGAGCCAGAATCGGAGCCAAGGCCCTCATTTCCCCAAGTGGACATGCTTAAGCTGCACCAACACACTCATACACACACACACACACACACACACACACACACACACAGCTGCAGTTGCATGGGGGCACGTGCACACACGTGGGCATGGGGCAATCCACAAGTCTGGGTGGGTCCACTCAGGCCTTGGGAGCCCAGGAGGGTGGGGCGGGGCCCCTCAATGAAGCCTCGTCCTTTCCCTGGCAGCAGGGCTGGGCCTGCCTGGGAGTGAGGAAAGGAGGGAGGGAGGCAGAGGAAGCCATTGCTTTGTGTATTGTTTCTTGTCAGGAAGATGAAATGGCTTCTGGGAGCAAATAAACGGCCTTTGGAGACCTGCTCTCTCTCACTCAAGGGGCCTCCTTCCCGTCTCCTCCCTCTTCCCCAGACAGCAGGGGCACCTTTGTGTGGGTGTACAACACCCAGGGACACACATGGCGACACACTCAGAAATGCCAGCAGACACACGGCATGGCCTCCCAGGGCCGCATGCTGCCCAGCGACTGCCCCCAGCACTCCGAGCCCGTGGAAGCCAGGACCCTTGTGGCGGGGTCCTCAGAGTGAGCGGAGACGTGAGGGCCAGTGCACAGCCAGCTTGTCTGCTTGGCCTATGGGGGGCGAGAAAGGGTGTGTATTCTCAAATGAGCGGGTGCGGATCTTTACATATTTTCCTTAAACCAGGCCTTTTAATCATGAGGTCTAAATCCTTCCCATTTGTGCTATTTGTCTTTTGAATACTTTATTCCATCAGTTTCTGAGAGAGGGCTGTTAAATTCTCGCTCTGGCTGCCGCATATCCATATTCTTGAAATTCTGTGGATTTTTGTGTCATTTGTTTTTAGGCTCTACTCTTTGGTACATAGAGGTTGAGAATTTTTCTAGCTTTTGAGTAGGCTTGTCATTTCACTATTGGGTAATAAATCTCTTGGTGTCTGATAAAAAAAGGAGAGAGTCACGGCTGGACACATGTGGCGGTCCACTGACACTGCAGATGCAGACCTGCCGGGACGCACAGAGGTGCACAAAGCTGTGCATACCCAGAGGCATGTGCATGCATGAATGTCCACTGAGGGGTGACATGGGGGCCCTCCGAGGCACCCCCCACTGTGAGTGTTGACTCTTGGAGGCCATAGGTGGACGGGGCAGGCCTTGCTGTCTCCCATCCCCTGTTCTTCAAGACAGGACGCCAGAGCCTCAGGCAGGCCTGGCTCTGGAGGACGCCAAGGGTGAGCACCAGGGTGCCTGGGCCAAGTAGGGGCTCTGGGACTTGGAAGTTACCTTCATTAGCCCACCCATAGGCAGCAGAGAGGGTTTAAGGTGTTTTGCTTGGAGGGATCAGCCCTGTGCCACTCTGGAGCCAAGGTACCCCGGCAGCTGAAGCGCCACCTTCTGCCAGCTCCCCTGTCCCCGCTGGGAACAGCCAGGTTCCTTGGCTGGCCTTCCCTGAGCCTCGTCTCCTCCTCTTCCACCTCACAGAGCCCTTGCACCTGCTGCCCTGCAAGGACCACAGAAACTAACGACTGCCCTGTGGTCCCCTGGCTAGAAGGCAAATAAACCCCCCCTGGGTCCAGAGAACTTTCCTGCGTCAAGGCTGCCTCTAGAGAGGAAGGTAGTTCTAGGTAATTAGCATCCTCTGCCACTTATGTCACTGCACAGCGAGTGTCCCCTCCAAGGTCCGGGCAGGGAGACGGAATGCCCTCCCCGCCCTGCCCTCGCCGGGCTCTCAGGCCAGGCGAGTGGAGCACCCCCGTAGGAGGTAGGAGGGGTGCTGCTTCTCCATGAGCTTTGACAGTTCGGTGGGGATGTGGGGGCGGGGCGTAACAGTGAAGTTAATTCCAGCCGAGGACCTGGGAAGGCTTCTTGGAGCTGGTGGGGTCTGAATGTGCCTGGAGAGCTGGCGTGCGTGGGCCCGATATGCGAGCTTGCATCTTCCGGCTCCTTCAGGTTAAACGTGGGGATTATTCATTGTTTATATTTGCAGTTGCAAAGCTGATGGTTATTTTTTTTTTGGAAGCCTCAGTCAATGAGGTAGCAGACCTGGGTTGGGCAAAACTACCTGGGAAGGTGAAAACGTGTATTTTTTTTTCCCCAATAACAAGTGACCACAACTGGGATTGGCCCTCCTATTAGTTGTTTCTAATTTAATAGGTTATAAATAGTAATGCATGTTTTGAATTTTGACCTGCTCTTTCCTGGACATCAAGTTTCAACAGACCTTTAATTACCCCTCCCAGTTCTGAATTATCATCTTTTCTCAGATGTGAGTAACACAAGTGCATCGGCAGTCAAAGGAGAAGTAATCAGTAGACAGCGAAGCAATCAGGGGAGGCTTCCTGATGGTGGTGGCAGGAGTGGGTTTTGGAAGAGGAAGGTTACCAACCCATGTGGTTCTGGGCAGTTAGGAAGGGATATCCTAGAAATCCCAGGGCAGGTGGCCCGTTCCTGTGGGGCCAGAGCTCTAGGCATGGTACCAGCCCCAGGCCTCCTCCCCTGCCCACTTGGCATGAAAAATGGTGCCTTTGGGGAACAGGGGCTGGGACGCTTGGACCTGTAAGAACGGGCTGGGGTGGGGGCGGGCAGGGAGGAGATGAGCTCATCTAGGCCACATTTGTGAGAGGGGCGGGTGGGGGTAGGTGAGTATGAGGCCAGGAGCCACTTAGAGCAATGGGTCCATTAATCAGTGTGGAAGGGCTGGTTTCAGGACCCCCGCCAGCTAGCAATTAGGCCAGCTCTGGAGAGCCCGGGGTGGGGGGAGGAGGGGCCCCCGAGCTTCCCAAGCCCTCAGACACCAGGCTGGCGGCAGGCGTGAGTGTGACGGCCTTCGGTGCAAGCAGCCGGCTGGCCTCACCAGCCCTGCACCCACGGAACCTGTTTCAGCACCCAGCAGGCCTCACCCCTACCTCCACACCCCTGTGCAGCAGGGCCCCTCCCCCTGCCTGTCCCCCAGTCCCGGAGGGAAGACGAAAAAGAGCCAGAACAAAGCCACGGCTCTTCTGACCCCTCCTGCCCCTGCAGCCCTTTCTGAATGCTGGAGGCGGCCCCATTGCCTTTGGTCTATTTTATACACGGGGAAACTGAGGAACAGAGAAGGCAAGGGCCACGGTCACGATGCCAGCGAGTCGGAGAGTCCAGGCTTGAGCACCTTGGGGTGGGGAGAAACGTGGGCATTGCCCAGAGGGCTGGCTGAGCTGAGGGCGCAGGGATCTGAGTCACTTTTTCTGTAACCCGAGGCTGCAGACAAAGGCGGGAAGACAATTGTTCTTGTAAGACGCCCTCAGCGTGGGGCTGAGGAAACTTCTGGAGGGTGGAGGAGTGCCCCCCACCTAGGGTTTTGCAAAATGCCCAACTGCCTTGCATCCCCAGGATGAGACTTCACGTTTCCACTTGTTGGGACACAGCTGCCGGGAGCAGGCAGCCCAGGTGGCCACGCCGGGCATCTCTGCGCGTGGGCCTGGCCGCTGCGGCCCAGCTGCCCTGTGTGGGTGCCCCTGGCCTGAGACCCCCGCGCGGGGCGGGGCAGGGGCTCCCGGGGAGGGGGCTCCCTGGTGCAGCTGCAGGGGGAGGCCCGGCACAGCGGCTCCCATCCCCTTCCTTTTCCATGACTCATGTTACTAAAAGCAGCCCAAGAGCAAGTGACAGCCAGACGGTGGTGGCGGGGCCTATGTGGCCAGAGGGAGGGAGGGGCTGGGCCAGGAGGGAGAGGGAGGGGGCAGACAGGGAGGGCCCTGGCCAAGAAGGAATGGGAGAGAGACACTGGACCAGGGGAGGGGCGGACAGAGGTGGGGCAGCAAGGGGGACAAGCATGGAGGGGCGGGGCAGAGGGAGCCGGGCCAGGGGCTGAGGAGGACCCTCCCGGGCTTCGGGAGTTTTAGATACGGCTAGGGATGGGGTAAAATGTTCTGGACTTCGGGGATAGAAAGCAATGTCTCCAGCCGGGCTGTCCCACCCGTTTGCTTCTCCTCTCCTGTGACTGTCCCTGAGTGACCCTGACCATCTCCTGCCCTCCCTGGGCCTTGCCCCTCGCCTCTGGCCTTGGTCCCCACTGGCTCTGGACTGGAAGTAGCTGATGCAGACGCCCCCTACCCCAAACCGCATTCCAGGCCCCTCCGGCCTCTGGGCAGAGCATCACAAGATCTAGGCAGGTACCAGGGGCCTAGCTGGTGCTTCCTCAGCAGGTGCGGCAGGGGACAAACCCTGATGTCCACCAGCTGTGTGTGGTGGGCAGGGCCTGGTCATCTGGGCCCAGCCAGGGGCTGGTACAACTGGCTCTGAGGGCCCTGAGGGTCTGGCCTGGTGCTGGGGGGCCTTGGCCCCACCCCCACCTGCCCTGCTCACCTCCCCCCGCTGACCCTGTCCCTTACAGCTGGCCTCCGGCGTGAACTCAGGCCAGGGCCTGGGCATCGAGATCATTGCCACCCTGCAGCTGGTGCTGTGTGTACTGGCCACCACCGACCGGAGGCGCCGTGACCTCGGGGGCTCGGCCCCCCTCGCCATAGGCCTCTCTGTGGCCCTGGGACACCTGCTGGCGGTGAGTGGGGGGTCTTCCCAGGTGGGGGTGGGGTAGAGAGGGCAGAGCCAGGCAGGGGCTGTCGGGGTGCCCTGTCATGGGCAGTGGAAGGGACCCCCAACTGGGCTCATTCTATGGGGTACAATCAGCTCTGTGGGCCTGGGGTGGAGGGTTTAGCGGGGAGGCCCTGCCCACGAGAGGGAAGCACAGCGACCTCCTGACCATCTTTCTGGGTCCATGCGCTCCCTTCTGGTTCTGATTGTCACTGCCCTATCTTTTCTCTCTGTGTGTCACTCTCTCTTCCCGCCCCCATCTCTGTTTCTCTGTACCCCTGCCCCTACCCCTTCCCCCTCCCAGATTGACTACACTGGCTGCAGTATCAACCCTGCCCGGTCCTTCGGCTCCGCGGTGATCAGCAACAACTTCAAGGACCACTGGGTGAGGCTCGGAGGGCTGCCCGTGGAGGCAGGCGGGAGGCTTCAGTGCCTGTGGAAGGCCGACCCACCTGTGATACCTCCTCCCGCCGCAGAGGCTCTGGGAAGCAGCTAGGGCTGAGGGACTCAGGACAGCGAGGCCTGCGAGGAAGGGGCCGGAGGGGCCAGGCCTGGACCAGCCTGGCCTGGGTGTCCCCACCCTGGCTCAGACCCTCCCCAAGCCAACCCAGCAGCTCGGTTGAGAGCAAGGCCTGAATCCGGGCTCTGCTGCTTTGCAGCTGAGCTTGACCTTGGGCAGGCTGCTGGCCCTCTCCGTCCTGTTTCCTGAGCTGTGGAGGTGGGGCAGGGGGCACCTACCCACCTCCCCGGCTGCCGGGATAACAAACAGCCTCACCACCTGTAAGCTGAGTGCAGCGTGGATCAACCACTTCATGGATTTAGCTCTTCTTACTGTTGGTGTTTGTGGTCCATGCCGGCCTTTTTACCAGACTAGACCCTCTGTGGCCTTCCAAAGCTGGGGTGGGGGACACTCTCAAGAAGGGGGTGGTCTGACCGTGCCCGGCACGCTATGCTGGCCACACAGAGGCAAGGCGATGCCCACTCCCACAGTCTTGGCTTGGGCCAGGTGTCAGGGGGCCTGGCATCGGGATAATGGGGTGAAGACACAGGTGGGAGAGAACCCATTCAGTGGGGTGCTGGGGCAGGGGGCGCAGGGGGCACGTCCCGGGACAGGGGATTTCCGGCGGAAGCTCGCCGGCTGGGCCGGACGCCCTCTGAGCACGCCTGCTCTGTCCCCAGGTCTTCTGGGTGGGGCCGTTCATCGGGGCTGCCCTGGCCGTGCTCATCTATGACTTCATCCTGGCCCCGCGCAGTGGCGACCTCACAGACCGCATGAAGGTGTGCACCAGCGGCCAGGTGGAGGAGTACGACCTGGACGGCGACGACATCAACTCCAGGGTGGAGATGAAGCCCAAGTAGAGGGGGCCTGGCCCGGGCATCCATGTGGGGAGCAGGGGCTGGGGTGGGCAGAGGGTGGGGAGGGGTGAAACCCATATTGTAGACACTCTGACAAGCTGGCCAAAGTCACTTCCCGAAGCGCGGAGGACGTGCATGGTCAAGCCTGACTTGGGGCTGTTGCTATCACTTTCTTTCTCTTTCTCTGTTCCCTGGCCTCGGGGCTTCCTGGAGACCAAGACTTACCACTCACCCACTCCCTTGAAGTCACAGAGGAGGTGAAAGAGAGGGACCCACTCTGCCAAGTTGTCCCTTCAGAGTGTGACGGGAGGTGTGCCAGAAAGTCCCCTTCCTCCCAAAGCAGCTCACCAACTCACCTGCCACAGGTGCCTGGGGGCCGCGATCATTGTTTAGTGCCTTGGGGCGTGGCCCTTTCCTGTAACGTGCACTTTGTCCCCCTGGGGTGCTTTGAGGGAAAGAGACCCCAGGAGGGGCCATGTTAGGAGCAAGGGATGACAAGCTTTAGCTGCACAGTTTGGTTTGCTTCCAGGGCCCTCCTTTGGATGTGCCGCAGAACCTTGGGATGGCCCCTATCTCGGGGTCTCAGTGACCCCATCTGTAAAGTGGCAGGGACAGGGAGGGCTCTATGGGCCTGAGGTCCCGCTCTAGGATTCTGTAAGTGTAGACACACCGTGGGTTCTGGGAGGCGGAGTCTGGACCGGCGCTGTATCTTCCATTAGCGCTGTGTTCTTGTCCCAAGTGCACAGCTGTGGCTGTGCTTCTAGTGAACATGTGTCGCACGCATGCGTGTTTCAGAGCAGCGAGCAGCAGACAGCCCGGCCAGTGGAATCTCCCTCCACAGCGGCCTCGCCAGGCAGCAGCAGGCCATTCAGAGGTCAAAGGAAGGATATCCATGTTTCCTCATTGAGTTTTAGTTGGTCTTTTCCACCTGTTGCTGCAGCATCCTGACCGCTAGTCGGTTCTCCACTCCCTCCTGCCGGAGTAGACACAGGTTGCTGTCACGCAGGTGTGTGCTTTTGAAGGGACAGTTTGTTGTATGAGGCCCAAAGTCTAAGGACAGATGACCGTGAGGCGGGTCATCCACAGATGCAGATGCCGTTGCTGGATCCTTATGGGGCTTCCAAGTCCCCAGCTGGTTATGAGGGGGGAGGAAGAACAGACTCCCCCTTACCGCTGAGCTCCTGGCTGGAGGCACTGAGGGCAGCGGGGTGACCTGCACAGGCTCCCCGTGTGACCCAGGCCACCACCCTCCGCCATCCTCACTCGCCTGGAGGGAGAATCGGCCCCGACCTGAGGAAGGAGCTGTGGCTGCAGCCCAAGGGCAGTGCGAAGCACAGAGTCTGTTTTGGGGGCAGCAGTCCCCACAGTCCATTCAATCCCAGCAGGGCCAGAGCAGGTCCCCCGTGTGCCCACAGCTATGGTGGTGACAGAAGCTGAGACACAACACCCAGATAGCTAGAAGCAGGAAGCCCTTCAGTCACCGGCCCATCACCACATCGGCACCCTCTCTTCCCCATTCCCGAGCAGGGACGTCCAGCCCACTTAGCAGATGAGAAACTGAGGCCCGAGGTCCCACAGCTAGATTATGACTTGGCCAGGCCTGGCAACTAAGAACACCTCTCTGGCTAGTACCTGGACCATGGGATTGGCCCCTCTCATCCCCAGCTTCTCAGTTTCTGCCTGGAATGTGGCCAGGGGCCGGCGGGAGGGCGGAGGGTCACGCCGTGGGGGGCCGGGGGGCCTGCTTTCCTGCCCCGTGCTTGCTGCTGCGCACCAGGGCCCTGCTTCTGTCCGTGCTGCATATATGTCTCTTTGGAATTGGAGTTTCATTGTATGTTAAGGAAATAAAGGAAAATGACTTCTAAGGTCATCCAGGATTCCCGTAGTTTTCTTTCGTCACTGTGTTTCTACAAAGGGCCTCTGGTCTGGCAGGGGATGGGGGCCCATGCCTCGGACGCAGTCTGAGGGGGAGCCCCTGCCTGCCCCCTGCCCCAGGGCCCCTGGTCTCAGGGGGCGCATGCAGCCCCAGCCGAGCACTCCGTCACGGGGATACAGGTCTGGCCCCTGGCGGGGCCCCTTTGTGATCGCAGCATGTGAAGGGATGGGGACAGCAGGACTGGAGTGTGACAGCCCCGTGAGCCCTCTGCCCTCCTCGTGGCCGGACCCAGGGCTGCCAGGCGTCCCTCCTTCTGTTCCTTCACCCTCGCCTGTGCCGGGTCCTGGGGCCGCCAGATCAGTCCCTTGGGGGAGGCAGGCCCACTCCCCGGATCCAAGCGAGTCCCACCAGGCGCAGGGGATGGCCAGCGAAGGGCGCCCTGCCGGAGCCGAGAGAGGAAGCACAGCCCAGGCCCTGAGGTCTGCGGGCTCCTCCCTCCCGAAACCCCCTGGCCAGTCCGTGAGAATGTACATTTTCCGTGGAGGCGTCTGTGGCTTTTGTCAGAACAGAGAGGTTGGAGTGGGCTGGCCTCTGCCTAGGGGGTGACAGGGAGCCAGGAAAGGACCCCTCTGTCTGCTTCTGCCTTTCCAGCCTGTCCCTGTGCAGCCCCAAGGCCAGTGTGGGATGGGAAAGACCCTGCCCCCCACCCCCAAGGCCTCTTGAACTCACACGATCGCCCCCCATTCCTGGCTTCCCTCGGACGGCAGGTGTGCGGGTGCTCAGTCAAAGGGGGGAGGTGGCTCCTTGCAGAATGCCCCGACGTCTCAGGGCCATGGCTGTGTCAAGCTGACACCTGGACCCAGAACCCTGGTACCCCCGCATGCACACACACAAAGGGCTAGTTTCTCCAAGCAGGGACAACTGTATTGGGAAAAATGAGTGCCCCATGTGAGGGAACAGGTCCCCAGCCATGGGCAGGCTTGCATTTCCCACGCAGCCTGGAGTCTGGGAGGCTCTGAGAACCATCGCCCTTTTGGAGATTACCCTAGGCCGCACAGACCGGTGTCACCATGGATGGGGTTGAGCAGGGACCGGTGTCTGGGAAGGTCCTAGCACCCAGTCGTCTTCCTAAGAAGCATGTGTCTTCTGGTGGAGGGTGCAGCTGGGCCGGGCAGGGTGCTAGGCCACCCCAGTGAAGGTCGAGTCAGTGCTGTCGGAGCAGGATTTCTTTTCCCAGTGTGCCCTGGGCCACACGGGGCGGCACCTGGGCTGTCTCAGCCGCTTACACTGCCCTTGCATCTCCCGGGTAGAGGACAGACTGGAATGCATGGGGTGGTGGCCACCCGGCAATGGGAACAGGACATGGGCTCGCCCACGGAAACCTGGGCTCAGCTGTGAGGGCATCTCAAGGCGGCCTCTCCCAGCCCCGCTTGGCTTTTCTTACCTTGTCCTGTCCAGGCGCGAAGCCCTCTCAGACCCTGCTAGGGGCCCTGCCCCCCACTTCTCCACCCTGCTCTTCCTGGACAAGCCCGGGCCATTCCAGGGCAGAACGTTTCTTACTGATTGTTTAATTGTAACCTCCAGAATCCTAGTGTCGAGAGACAGAGCCTGAGGAAGAGGCCGGGGAGCTGGTATTTCACGAGGATTTATTGTTTGTAAGGCACTTCCCTGGAACAACACATACAGTCTTTGTAACCTCTGCAACATCCTTGGGAGATGACGAGGATGGCCTCCATCTACAGAGGATGCCAAGGCCCCAGAAGACGAAATGATTTGCCCAAGGCCACACAGCAGGTGCGTGGCAGAATTGAGATTTGAACTTGCTCTGCCTGGCTTCAAAGATGGGGCCCTTTCCTCTCCGTGGCTGGCCAATTTTGTCATAAGCTCCACTGAGTTCAACTCTAGGCCATCCAGCCAGACAGCCAGGCTTCCTCTGTCTGCGAGGGGTTAAAAGGGAGGCAGAAGGGAAGGGAAAATAGCACCTGGATGGAGGGGGCTCTAGCACCAGGTGAAAGTGCTGTTCATGCCAAGGCCAGCTGGACACAGTGTCTGTCTGAGACACCCTGGCCCGTCCTGGCCCCAGGCTGCTCCTCTGGCACTGGCACCATCACAGCCTCCCCAGGGCCCTCTAGGCCTCACTGCTTCTCTATCTGGAAGGAAGACATCTGCTAAACCTGCTCATGCTGCGGTTGTCCTCTCCCCTGAGAGTACGTGAGAAAGAGAAGGGCAATGCTGCACTTTGAGGAATAATAATGCACTAGGAAGGGGCCTCAGATACCATTTGGGCCTGGGGACCAAAGCTCTGGGGCCAGGCCATCCTCAACTCCCTGTCACCTTCCAGCTTGTGTGTTTGGTGCTTTAGGTACCCCATCTGTCAAGGATCATCCTTGACTCTGCTCCATTCATGTTCTGTCCAGTCCTGCACAGAGGAGAGGTTTTGGGGGAATAACCAGAACTGGCATGGGGCTTCTGGAGCAACCAGAGCCCTTGTCAATTTTGTTCATCAAACTTCAATGGAGAGAGTAAATTTACTGGAAGATTCTATGACTCAACCTTAATCTTCCAGCTGCTGAGCATTCAGGTGACCACTCATGTGAGGGGCTTGGTGGCAGGCAACTATTGCCCTGTCCACTGGGTCTCTGCCGAGACCAGGCAACAGGGTCCTCCCCCACTGGACTCCCCATTGGTCCTGAGATGTGCACACAGAGGTGACTCAGCTGGCCTGGAAAGGCCGTGGCCCTCTGCCCTTGGCCCAGCAGGAAGCAGGAGGTCATTCAGCAGTTACTTAATCCTAGAATATTCGTCTCTCCATTAAACTCACAAGAGCAAAAAGTTGCACTTTCACAGTTGCCCCACCTGTTCTGAGGCCTCCTAGGAACCCTGAGCCAGACTGGATGATTTTCCAAAGTCCTTTAGAGGCCAGACATCAGACATCAGCCAGAGCCCCGTGATCAATGTTCAGATGAACCCGAAGTTGCTTGTTAGTTACACATATAGATGACCTCAAGCATTAGGTCAATCAGTCCTGAGTTTCTGAGCATCCAGGAATCTGGGACCCTTGTAAACCTGTACATCCCTTTTGACATTTCCCTTTGTCCTCCATGATCAAGGGGAGTCCTCCTCCCAGGCCCTGAAGCAGCACTGAGAGGTCCATGGGAGAAGATTGGGTCTTTGTAGCTACCCTGGACTTGGGTCAGTCAGCTGATCAGCCAGAGATGCCATCCAGCCTCTGTGGGCCCGGGGCTCTCATCCTGATCCAGGCATCTTTCTATATCTCAAAAGCCCAAGTGGCCTCAAAGAGGAGCCAAGTGCAAGTGTATGCATGGCTCACAGCCGCCATTTGCCCCTTAGCCCCAAGCACCACAGCACCCTTGGCGGTACTGGTAGATGCAGGGAGGACTCTCTTCCTTTTGGGGCTCCCAGGCTGGCCCTCAGTGTCCCAGGAACCAAAGCTGGGAGCTGGTCTGGAAAAGCACTGGAGGGCCTAGTGCCAGGGGCCCCCGCCCTTGGCGTGGCCCGGCCACATGCTGGCCCATTAGGGTTTTTCCATCCCTCCTGTAGGTCACACCTTCACTGGTCAGGAGCCTCTCAAGGAGGGGGACAGTGATTAATGTTTTATAGACGAGCTGCTGGGCATGACGCCTTGTTTTCTTTAGGTTTAGAATACAATGAGGGCAATGAGTGGAATTTGCTGGAGCTCAGGGCCATTCTTGGGGGCTGAGGGCCCATAGGCGGTGATGTTTACTGTCCTTAGTGCTGAAAAGGGGGCAATTCTGGAGGCAGGGAAGGCGGGCGAGGCCTTTGCTTGTGTAGCCATCATCCCCAGACCTCCAGAGAGGGTTCCCACCAACGCCTGGGGCCTGGGGTGCAGAGCCCGCTGGTGAAGGGGACCCAGAAATGCTAACACGCGTGTTCTGCTTAGGTGATTCTACTTCATTCCAATAAAATCACGCTGTCTGCATATAGGGCTTTGCTTATTTTTCTGTGCTTTCCAGGGTGTTGATGGGGAACGAGCTGAGGGCACGACTGACCTTCAGCCATATGGGTCAGTACGGCTTCACCAGGCTCTTAAACATTAAAACGCTTCTATCTGGTCTGAGCTCCGCCAGCATCCCTCCCCCAGGCCCGGCCTCCCTGGCTACCCTGGTCCTCGTCTAGCCTCTGGTCACCTGTGCCTCTCCACAGCCCAGTTCTTGCGGGGTCAACGCTGTCATCAGCAGGGGGACACCAGGACCCTGTCCAGGGCTATACTTGTGGAGCAGCTCTGGTGTATTGACGCCTAACACATGTGGCCATTACATGTTTTGCATATCACCTTTGGGTGGGACCCAAAGCATTCAATTCATACATATATGAGAGGTGTTCACCCAGGAAGGTCCAAGTTAGACAAAGTGTGTGGGTCTGCGTGTGAATGTTGAGGGAGAACTCAGTCCTGTAACACACTTGGAGTTTTCCTCGCATTTGTCCTAAGAACATTCCCAGTGATTGTCACTCATGGGAGAGCCACACACGGTATTGTATAAGGACACAGGCCCGGGGCTCTGCCAGGTCCCGCAGCCTAGCCCGTGACTGATCCCTGCCTCATGGTCAAAGGCTGGAGAGTATCCTCGGCCACAGCCGTGCTGTTACTAACAGAGGTCACCACCGGGTGCCATGCCCGGTTGGTCTGAAGCCAGCCTGTCCCCATGCAACAGAGCAGCAGCTTGAGAAGGCTGGCCCGGCTTGAGGGGAACCTGGCAGACATTTTCCCACAAACTACTAAGTAAGCAAATAGATCTATAATCTGGAGAGAGAAAAAATGGAAGGGGGGCGGGGGGGGGGAGAGAGAGAGAGAGAGAGAGAGAGAGAGAGACTCCCAATAAATTCAGTGAATATGTCCAATCCACAAAAAGCAAACCCAGAGAATTAATACCGATGAGAAAGTTCTCCGGGTTGGCAGCCCATCACTCATAGCAGCCTTGAACATTGGTTATCAGCCCTCC